CTCCAGAGACATGTGGGAGAAGTCATGGGGGCATTGGCAAGTCTCTTGCAGGAAACGGAGGTAGCTTCATTGCTAGACCCATTTATAAATTTATAAGTAGACTGGAGACGAGAAGGACCAGTCCACTGTTGGTTCTTCCTGACTGGGCTAACTCAGCAATTCAAGGTCAGTTACAGGCTGTTGGCCCCACTGTCCCAGTCAGGCTTCTGCCGATTGCACCCTATAAGTGAGGACTTCACTTCTCCTGGGGTGGAATACCACAGTTCACCCGCTGTTGGGCAGACTGGGATTTACAATCCCCTAGAAACTCTAATCTGGCAGGTCCAGCAAACTGGGTTCCTCCAGAAGCCTGGCACCCACTGTGTTTGCAGTGATTCGAGAAACTACTTCTTTAGAAAAAAACATGACTGACTTCTCCAGAGGACATGCAGCACTCAGAGGAGCAATTTCAAACCAGCATAGAGTAGCATGGCATGCTCCTTTAGCCAAATGTAATTTCTCTAGGAGGTGGTGGTAATTTCCCCAGGTCTTGAGTACTGTTCTGTTTACACACATGCCCCCTCTGCCAGCTTCTTTTCAGTGACGCAACTAGGGGCAGCCTCTCCCTGCTGACCCAAGCCCTCTCCCTTTCCTAGTGCCTGTGGTACCCTAGGTCTCCTTTTAAGGTCACCTTGGAAAGAAGCATGAGCGACTGGTGCCTCCTGATACTGGAGGGGGGCATCAGTGGCCAATCTCTGACTGAGGGGCGGGGGATGATAGCTGCCACCAGCAGAAGTGCCAGTGGCAAACCTGGAAGTGCTCAGTGCCCCCACAATCTCAGGGGGGGCAACAGCTGTCCTGTCCACTCCCCAGCTGGCAAGGGCCAATCTCAGGGGGGGCTTTTCCCCCTACCTGTCGCCTATGGGAAGAAGTAAAACCTGAATGAAACCAGCTAGGTTATTTCCTCCAGTGGATGGCCCAGCTATAGTTTTCTCAACTTCTTTGAACTAAGTACTTAGGTATCTCAGTAGATGTTTTACCTTTCCTGCCGGTTTTATAACAACCCCTTCACAGCCTCCTTTGACTGAACTATTCATTCAGGCAGCAATAGAGTCAGACAAAGGACTAGTCATTCACATTATTTATAGGATAATGGAAACATTCTTCCCAAATTGCCACAAGACCACTTTTCTAGGAGAGACAACTGCTCTCATGGCTGACTTTGATGGCAAAAAAATGGAGTCAGTTCCCCCAGCAGCAGTGAACTCTATTGCTGCTCTACAAAACTACAATTCCCAAAATGCCGTGTGCTGCATGACATATTGCCTGCTTCATGCAGCTGAGAAGTGCAAGCTGAACAGACAATGACCCCCATCTACTTAATGCCCAAGCACCTTAATGCCATTCCCCTTAATGCCCAAGCACGTGCCCCATTCACCCACCTCATATTATGCTACTGCCATGAGGGAACATGCTGGCATGTCCAAATTAAACTATTTTTGTTTTGGAGCCTTTGATTTTCTGATAAAATGAATATTTTTCTTTGAGCAGAAGAGTCTTTAAAAAAACATAGTTTAATTAAAAGCCCAGTTTTCCATGAATGTTGTTCTTGTCTGAATATTTTTCAATCATCCCTTCGTAATAGTTTTATTCATCTAAGATCCACTTCTTATTTTCAATACATGTGCTTTCTGGGGCTACTGGAATGACCTAGATTGTTTTCTGTATCTTCCAGTGTAATGGATCACTCTACAGAAGTGTAGCGACCCCCTGAGAAGAATATAGCAATCAAAAGCACAGAAACTGCAGATCTACTATCCAACAGGACATGGCTGCAGGCTTTGGAGACATCACAAAGGCATCCCTCCACACCACCACTCCTCTCAAACCCTGAAACTGCAAGCTCATTCCCCAACTACCACTAAGTTTGGACTTTACTCTTAAGAAGGAAGAAATAATATAATGCTCGGTTTGCATGAGCAGATTGCTTTGAATTTTATAGTATTCCGAGGAGGAAGTGCATGGACTGCACAGCCAGGAAAGAGATGATATAAGAAAGGCTGCATTTCAAAGATATCAGACTGGGGGAAAAACCTCTGGACCATCAGAAAAATGTCCAGCATTTTGCCACATTCACAGAAGGTTAAAAATGTGTAGATTTTGCCAAATTTGTCATGCTTGTCTACCATAAGTGGCAGGCGGGAATTTTACAGATGAACCCACTTCCCACCTCACTGAATAGAAAGAACAGACAAGGTCCACTCTATGAGCCACTGTCTGGCATTATTGTTCAATGTGCAGATTTCATCTGCCCCACTTGGGCATTTGTAAAGATTGCAGCGTTCGATTAAGTGCTGTGCTGTTTGGTGGACACCTGATTCATACAGGGGCTGTCCAAGATGTTCGTCTGGTGAAGTGTTGTTTTGAAGCATTTGTATCCACATATCAGTCTGTTCAGCTTGACCCATGCTTCTCTGTCAAGGTTGTGCCCAGTGTGGGACTCATTTGGTACAAGATTATTTCATCAGAATTGCCCCAGGATTTGGGACAGTCTGTATGGGCCACCTAGTTCTCCTGCCTTACTTCTCAGAGACATTTCTTGACTAGATGAAAGTGTTCTCTACAGACAGAAGCACTGAGATCTAATGACTGTTTCTCTTACTCTGCTTTTCCATGACCATGGCCAAGTTCCTTAGCCTTTTTGTGCCTCAGTTTATGAAATGGGCTTACCTTCCTACCTACCTCATAGGGATAATGCAAAGCTTCAGTATCAAATATCTAAAGCACTTTGAGGCTTTTTCTACATAGGGAATTTGCCAGGATCAGGATACTATTAGTCCATGTTAAGATGCATGTACAAACTCTTAAGTGGACACAAGGGAAGCTATGGTTTGCATGAGTGGAGTTTATCCCAGCTGGAGTTAGCACCACAGAAGTAAATTGGGGCCTTCCTCTGCTACGCTTTGTCTTCACAACAGCACATCTAGGCCCAGGACAGGATGACGTAGTCTAGGTCTTGGGTAATCTCATCAATGATCTGCAAAAGTCCATTGCATTCAGTAAAGCTTCAGCACCATCAGGAAATCTGATACTCATCTTCACAGAGTGACCTGGTTTTATTCTCAGTAATCACCATAAGCCTTGATTTACCATTTCATTGGGCTAACAAGGAAAGCTTTGCTGGCTGTTCCAGCTGAGCGGTGGATAGTTTACTTTCTGTGTCCCCTGTGAATTTCATGCCTTCTGCTCGTGTTCCTCTAATGAGTGGAGTCCCTTCATGGTCCCAAACCCTTCCATCATTCAGGAAGCCATTATTATCTCTTTTACTTGAACAATCACACAGCCATCATTAAGGCTGCAGCACCATTTCTGTTCTAATGCACTGTTTTTACTGGCTCGTAACCTGAGAAATGTGCCTCTGGGGATGACAGTTTTCATGCTTGGTTTCTGCCCAGCTGCCCAATATGTTTTGAGTATTTCAGCCAATCATGTTCTGCTTAATTATGACAACATCAACAAAAAAAGTCCATAAGCACATGTTCATCAGGTGTAAATCAGCACACCCATGTAGAATTCACTAGAGTTATGCCCATTTACATCAGTGGAAGACAAGGCACACCTACTTTTTTTTAGCGTGAATAAGTCCAGAGACTCTGAGCTTTGAGTCACACTTAGAATGCAAATAGTCCTCAGTGAAGGGAAAGTCTTGCTACACCCAAAAAATGCTGGTGCACAGTTCATAAAAGTAAGAGAGCGTAAATAAAACAATCTTAGATCCATAAAAGCCCTCTTGTATCCTGATCCTGGAATGAACTTTGCATAAGCACCTACCTTCAAGCACAGAGCCAGGGATCTACCCATTTGGAGACCATTGTGGGGTCTGGGACATGCTACTCAGTCCTTTTAACATGGGCAAGCTAAATTAGTGTAAACCAGGCTTAAACCCTCAAAGTGTCAATATACAAAGCTGCAGTGGTTCAACCATACTGGTTTAATCCACAAAGCCAGTATAGTTTTGGTGTTTAGGTAAATCCTCAAGACTTTTCAAGGAGCACGTTGAGACTTTTTAGTTTTTCTACAAAATCAGGAAAATTAAAAGCAAAAACGTTAGCACCCAAAGCAAATTAACAATAAGTAACAAGGCACTCAGAAGACAGGCTATTAGAGAAAGTAAAATAAGTAGATACATAATCTGCACTACTTGGCAAATATAACAGCATTTAGTTCATTTATGCTATAAAACACAGATTGAGCACAAGGGCTGAATGAATGTTGCACTAGTCAAAATATTATTTTTTTCCAGTTTCTCGGTTTGTGAAGTTTTGGTTTCTCAGCCTTGCACTAGGCTTGGCATTCCATGTAATTTTATGTTATTTAAATCAGACCCATCGAATCATTAAACAGAGAACGTAAGAATGTATTTATGCTAAACGCACTGAGCACTTGGAGACACCAGTCGTTTTATGCACAAGTAGTCACATTGGATGTTAAGCACGTGAGTAGTCTATTGAAATCCAATGCGACCATTCATATGCTTAAGGTATGCCTGTGCCATCTGCTTGCTGATTGGGGCAGTAATCCTAAAATCACTGCACTACATTTTTTCTTGCATTCCTCATTTTAGTTGCCAGGTATGTTATACAAAAGTACTTAAATATATTGGAATGGTTGTTTGAGATACTGTGCAATAACATTATAATTGTATTTTATTCAATGCAATTTTATACAATAAACTGTTGTTTAAAAGCGCTGCTTTTGTTTGTTAGTAGGCAAGGAACCAGGCTGGTTCAGGGGTGGAAAAGGCTGAAACAGGAAAACTGTTTTAATTACATGCCATTGAGCAAGACAATGAACCTGTGTAAAAATCAGTTAGTTGTAACAGTATTACAATGTGACCCAGACCTCTGGATTCAGCTTCCACCTGCGTCATACACTGACTGTATTGACTGTAGACGAATCCAGACAGGATTTTCAAAGGTGTCTGAGAGACCTGGACCTTGGTGTCCCAAATCCTTTAGCTGGCATTGGAAATCTCAGCCTTAATCCCTGTGGCTCAGTTTCCCACTGGTATAATGGGAATAATGCTTCCCTACTTTCTAGGAGAGATTAATTCACTAGCATTTGTAAAGTGCTCAGATGCTACAGTCAGTGCTTGGGATTAGTGGTAGAGAAAACATGTACAAAATCATACGTGCTATTAAAAATTTGCACCCTAAATGCATCCAAGGGGGTACAAAACAGGCTTACACCATTTTTTATACCTGTATAATAATTTAAATTAGGGTGTTTGTTACTGACGGCTACAGTAGTACAATTTCCTATTGTGGATGTATTTAGCCCACTATAGAAAATGTCTGTATTGGTATGGTTTATTTCCCTTCCCATATTAAAAATCTTTCTCCCACTATAGCAGCATCCACAGGATAGCTATTTTACTACTGTAACTAAGCTTGCAGTTAAAGTGGTATAAAGTGGCATGTGTACTTACATAGTTAACGCAGTATGAATTCTATGATAACTTCAGTCCTATTTTTAAAAATGAGTGCAAAGCCAAGTTCTACCAACTCTTTCCTTGAAAACAGTATCAAGGAGGGGAGCAGCAATAATGATTAAATCTCTTCCATGCCTTTACATGGCATATTGTACCATCATTATCATTTTTTAATTTGGAACAGAACCCTAATGCCCCATTTTACCGACAGCCTTGAGATGCCTTTGGCTGAAATCCCTGAAAGCTACTATAAGTAGCTTAAATTCAGTAAGCTTAATACCATTAAATGCATTTAGAAAGTGGTGACTAGTAATCTCACATTTATACAGTAACCGTCATCTCATAGGTCCTTCCAGACTGCAGACTTGAAAACTTTTTCATGCAGCCACCTCTGGATTGGAACACAACAACTCTTTACTTACACTCAGTTACAATACAACAGTTTTGCAAAGAAAGCAGGGGAGCATGTGGTCTCAAACTGAGACTGCACAGAGAATTTTGACAGGACAATGCAATTATTCTTGAATTATTCTTGAATTGCTGAAAAACAGGAGCTCTGACACCAGACTGGGCAGGAATAAATTAGTTCAGAGTGAGAAGGAGGAGTACCCTGTGCCAAATCCTCAGTCTTGTTTTTTGACATAGGGATTTTCCTTGAAGATCCCTCATTCATAAGCAGGGTCAGGCCTGACCTGTGTAACTCAGGAGTGGCCAGCCTGTGGCATGTGTGCCAAAAGTGGCATAGGCAGCCTGTGTGTGTGTAGCAAGTGATAGACTGGGCTAAGGGCAGGCAGCACAGCTGCAAACAGGGCAGAGAGCAAAAAGGAGAGCAGCAGATAGAGCAGGGAGCACAGGGCAGGGAGTAGAAGACAAACCAGCAAAGCAGGAAGGGAAAGGAGACTGGAATAGCACTCAGAGAGGCCATGGGGTTTGATTTCTGGCAAAAAATGTGGGCTCCCAGTGCTATCACTGATAAAATCTGACAAAACCCATGGCCCAGGATTACCTGGCAGCAAGTCACATTTACCAAACAATACCTCCTCTCCACCCCCAAATTATTTATTCTGCTGCATCAGGAATTACAGCTCCTGGACTGGTTCCTCTATCAAGAACTGCAGCTGGCAGGACAGAGTGGCACCTCTAACATGGTGACCTACCTGTCTATGTCAAGAAAGCAAAACACTGAGCATTAACTTAGCACAGAGAGAGCCTAGACCAGCTAAACTCCTAGAAGCAATTCCTAAGTAAGGAACAGTCACAGAGGTACAGAGCCGCTGCCTAGACTGTTGTCAGTCCATAACAGAGCTACTATTGTTATCAGAGTCTCATGGATGTGCCAAGGGTTGAATTTTACTCTCAAGTGTGAGAACCTGGACTTCTGGTCAGTCCACAGCAGCTCCATTGAACTCAATGGAGCAACACCAATCTACATCCCAGCGGCAGGCAATTATTTCGAGCGGAGGCCCACTTACTGAGTTTTGGCAAGCCATCGAGGGATGCATGACAGGCAGCCAGGGGCAGATAAATATTAATTTTCTAAAATTTTTAGGGGCCCCGCGGGCCAGATAGAATGGCCTAGCAGACTGCACCCGGCCCCGCAGGCTGCATTTTGCCCGCCCCTGTGTTAGAGACTGCCCCTGCCCATGTTGTAGGGGCCAGGACTGGGTGCTAGCAGTGCAGCAGCTTCAAGCTGCAGCAGTGGGGATTTAGGTGGGAGATGAGAAGGAACTTTCTGGCTCTGAGGGGGATCAGGCATTGTCACAGGCTGCCTAGAGAAGCTGTGGCTGGTCCATCCCTGGAAGTTTTCTAGAGCAGATTGACCAGATATGTGACTGGGCTGGTTCAGAGACCCAAGGATCCACATTAATATGAAGTCAAGTAGAAGGCAGGGTGGATTTGCACCTTATAGACCAACCAAAATGAGTAGCTACAGATACAGGCGAGCAGGGGGCTGGCCCAGATGACTGCGTGATCTTCCTTCCAGCCCTACTCGCTTATGATGTCTATGAACCTCAACAGGCAGCAGCAGACCCTGAGTGTACCCCAGACGAAGCATAGCCCCTTTCTCTGCCGTACTGTATTGCTGAGTGGCCCAGGGCTGGACCCCCCTCTCCCTGAAGCACAGCAGCCCAGGCTCAATGCCCTCCACCCACCTCTGGAGCAGCTGGGACTGGAGCAAAGCCCATTCAGGAGGCAGGCCCAGGCCACAGAAACTCATCCTTGCCTCCTCCCCACCAGCCAGGTGAGCTCCACCTGCAGCACACAGCAGACCCACCCAGTGTATGCTAGGAG